TGGGCAGGAAGGCACTGGGGAGGTGGACTTGCGGCTGCCCAGGCTAGAGGGGTGGGGGAGGCAAGGATGGCAGGCTCGTGGGCTGGGGTGGGGTGGGGGCTGCTTTCTCTTTCTTATGTGTGTGCCAGCACTGACCCTGGGTGACACCAGGTGTGCAGGCAGACAATGGAAAGTTCAGATCCTGCTTCCCCTACATGAGCTATGTGACTTGGGAAGAGCCTCTGAATCTTCCTGTCTTGTTCTGTAAAGACAGGTGAGGCTGGGGACCAGCCGATGGCATAATGGCTGCATTACTGAACTCCCATTTAGTCAACCACGGTTTGAGTCCTGGATCCAGTGGCTTAAAACTCTCGCCGGGCATGTGTGCATGTGCGCCTCAAATTCCAAGAGGAGAATGAAGGAGAAGGGACTGCAGTGTGGTCATGCCCCCTGTGGGGCGATTTCTCACTTTCTGTATCTCTGTCTCCCCCATGAGCACACCCACTCATGGGGACCGGTAAGGCCAGCTCCACCCGCATACAGGCCATTAGTGAATCAGTCTGCATCATGGTGCTTCGTACAAGGTGAGGTGCTGTGTGCATCTGAGGCGGCATTAGTCGTGGGGTCCGTCTACTCTTCCTGCCTTCCCTGCCCTCCCCAGGTCGCCATGTGTCCCCGCCTCAGGCAATCTGGAATCCATTTCACTGTCGGTCTTGCTTTGCTCCCACTTCTGTAGTACCTTGTTCAAATGAATTTGGGATTATTAAATACAGAATGGTTAGAAGTTCTGTTTTCAGCCAGCTTTCTTAGCAGGTAGACCCGTTCTGAGGTCTGCCTCAGTTCTGAGGACTGAAGAAAATATTCTCCAGGCTTCACTAGCTTTCGCCATGTACTAAAGAGAAAATGAAGGTCAAGCAATAATTGTTCCAAATCTGTATCCGTCAGGTGGTGGTGTGTTTATGCCAAGTGAAATCAGTAATGTCATGAAAAAAACACCGTGTACCCCAGTCCTGCAAAGCTTTTTCTGCTCCGTCTGCTGTAAACTCTTAATAGTCTAAAGTGTAAAGAGTGGGGTCGCCACAATCGAACATTTGAAGCTGTGCCTGTACATGGAGCTCGCGTGGGTTCAGCTGTGCCTGTCTGGGAGATGGCGTGGGCTCAGAAGGCAGGTGAGGCTGTGCCTAGGCCCGTTGAGGACACTGCGTTTGTGCTGAGCTCTCGGGGACACCGTGCTCTCCTGTGTGCAGTGCTCACTGTCACGGGGCAGTCCAGCAGGACTGTGCTCTGTTCTTTACTGGGAGAGCAGCTGTGGGCATGGTGCAGGGAAGGGCACGGCGTGTACCCTAGGTCAGGGTGGAGGAGGAGAGTTGAACCGGGCCTTGGAGGAGGGCTAGGTCCTTGTAGGTGGCATTGCCGGGGAGATAATTCTAGGCAGACACGTAAGCGAAGAGCGCAGTATAGGAGGTGCTGTGGTTGTGGTTTTCTAGGGGGCTGGAGAGTGCGCAAATTAAGATAGCGCTGAGGATTCACTTATACGTAATCATCCAGACGACCCTGGGCTGGCCATGCAGTCTGTTGCCTACCAAGGCTTTCTTTTACAGTGACCCCGCCTACCCTTGTTTGGTGAGTTTTACCTACCCGAACCATACCGTCAGCAACCGTTCATTTTCCACTCAGTTACCAAGGCTGCAGGTCAGATCTGATTTACACGAAAGAACCACCGGCAGGATATTCTAGACAAAAGTGAGGACCGGTATTTTCAGCCTTGACTTTTTTTTTTTTTTTCTTTTTTTGGGGGTACCTTCTTTAATTTTTTCCCCCACTTCCCCAGAGGATATGTCCACTTGCTGAAGAGAGACAGAGGAGAGCGAGAAAGTAACCCCCATGGGACGTGGGACATGGTCCTATAGCAATCTCTTCTCCCTCACTCTCTATCTTGTCAGGATTTTAGTTCTTTTTGCACATGCACCCAGCATTTTTTTTTTTTTTTTTGACAGGTTTTTGCTATAGGGCATATGTGGTCGCCAGAAAGACACAGAGAGACAGACAGAAAGTGAGAAATCACCCCCCAGGGAGGATGGCCACACCGCAATCCCTTCTTCTCCATTCTCCTCTCGGGAACTTGGGCATGCACACATACGCGCCCGGCGTGAGTTTAAGCCACTGGGTCTGGGACTTGAACCACAGTCGGCTACATGGGAGTTCAGCAACATAGCCATTATGTCAACTGCTGGTCCCCATACCTGGCATATTTTTAAGCCACCAGGTCTGGGACTTGAAACCGGGCGGCTGGCTGAATGGAATCCAGCCACCTTAATCACCAGGCCATGAGCCAGCCCTCTTTTTAGCTTTAATGTGGGTCAAGGTACAATTCCTGTGTTGACCCTGAAATGCTGAATGTGTAACTATTAACTACCGGCAAGACCTCCACAGGCGTGGGTCTCCAGGTGGGAAACTTAGTCTTCCTCCTGAGCCATCAGGAAATCTGTGAACCCAGTACCTAGCTCTGTCTCCTGTCTCTGGGTACCTGTGAGGCCCCAGGTGGCTCCTACCCCCTTACCACATGTGCATGTGCCTTGCCTGTCCTTATTCTTATGCCTGGTACTCGGTTTGCCCTTGGGCTTGGTGTCATGTGGCTGTCCCACTCCTGTTCCTGATCTTAGGGACTTTCTTACAGCCTCTCTCAGCTTTTACCCAGCCTTCTGGCTGCCTGCCTTTTCCTGGATGTCTTGTTTGTAGTTAAAGGAACAGCAGAACCTTGTGACTCATTCCCCACCCAGGCTTTTTTAAAAAGTGAGATTTTTATTTATTTTTCCTTTTGCTATAGCACACGTGTGCTTGGTGGAGCAAGAGAGAGATGGAAAATGAGACATCACCCCCCTGGGGTAATGGCCATGCTGCAGTCCCTTCTCCATTCTTCTCTCAGGATCATGGGCATGCATGCACATGCACCCAGTGTGAGGTTTCTTAAAGAATTATTTTATTTAACTTTATTATTTATTTTTAATTTGAGCAGAGAGGGAAGGAGGGAGGGAAGGAGGGAGGGGGAGAGAGAGAGAGAGAGAGAGAGAGAGAGAGGAAGAAAGTGGAAA